ACCTTCTCGGTGAGTGAGTGGGCGTGTCTCTGAGGTTTCTAACACGTGACGGACGTGATACTGAAGAACACAAACATCTCAGGATGAAGAAGAGGAGTCGTACACGTAGAAGACGAAGACGTCCACTTGGAAAGACGAGGAGGTTCCAGATGTTTTGGTGATGAGGGCCGACGCCGTGTGGACGAGCTGTAAACAACAACACTGATCTTTACACAGCAGAGTTTAGACGTCATGTCCCGCCTCCTTCTGCTCTACAGGCTCCACCCCTCACCTGAATGTTCCCACATGTTCCTGTTGTTGTGAACGAGTCGACAATCTGCTGCTTCACAGGACAAACATGAACTACACAACATGTCAGGACAACATTTAACACAGTTCATGTGTGAAAACATCTTGAGTCCTTGTGTCCTCTGGGTTCAGTTGTAATATGTAACTTAACCACTAGATGTCTCTACAGATCTCACATGACATCACCAGTCATAACCATAAACCTACGACACCTGATGATGTCACTAACTTTTTCATACTGAACCTTAAACTTAACGTAACCTTACTTTTTTTTGAAAATAAACTATTATTATTATTAGGAGTAGTAGTAGTAGTACTAGTAATAGTAGTAGTAGTAGTAGTAGCTAACTGTTTTTACACTTTTGTGGCTGTGTCCCCCCCACATAAGTATTTACACACTCAAACAGGCTCATGACTGATTGACAGCTTTAGGCCCCACCCTTCACAAGTTAATCAACACAAAGACAAAACAGTAAACAAAAAAGTTCTGAGAAGAAATGCAGAGTTGTGTGTGAACGTGGTCAACAAGTGTGATGACTGCAGTTAGTTTTGGTTTGCTGGGAAATAAGGTGTGAACTGCTGCTGATGTCACAGGAGCTTCATCTTCACGTTATCGTTTCTTTTGTGTGTGAACGAATGTTTCAGGTGATTCTGGACAATCTGATGCTGAATCCAGTGTCTCAGCTTTCTCAGGCCATCCGCGAGAACACAGAGCAGCTGGCTGAAAAAATGAAGTAAGGAGGCTCTTGATGACACAACAGTTCTTGTAGATCTGTGATCTGAAGGTTTCAGATGTTATTTAACGACTCGTGTCTCTCTCAGGGTTTTGTTCCAGAACAAGGCTGAAGTCTGGGAGGAGATCGAGGCCAAGATCAACGCTGAGAACGAAGTGCCCATCCTAAAAACCTCCAACAAGGTTATTTTTAAGAACAGTATATATACTAATATGATAACTTGATATTATCAGTTTAATTTGAGAACAGCTGAAACTTTCTGTTTTCTGTTCCAGGAAATTACCTCCATTTTGAAAGAGCTGAGACGAGTCCAGAGGCAGCTGGAAGGTACAAAAAGAAACATATTATAATATTTAATATAATTCTATGATGTGGGAGTTAAATGAATTAAAACAGTGTTGTTTATGTTCGGCTGTGAAAGATCCAAACTGGAATAAATATGAAAGCATCCCCTGCTGAGAACGCTGGGGTTCACCCTCATACTTTGACACTGTGACTGAGCTGTTTCCAGTACTCGTGTTAAGCTAAGCTAACACGTTTCTGCATTGGACACCAGTGATTTTTTTTCTTTTAAGACAGAAACATTAATGTCCTTTTTTTCTTGCCGTAGTAATAAACACCATCGTGGAGCCCGGTGGGAATCTCCAGACTGTGGCCGTTGGGATGTCCTCTCTCGGGACGTCCCCTATTGGTCAGACTCGACCTTCATCAAAGGAGAAGAAACCTGCTTCCAAACCCCGGAGCTCCCCCCACACATCCAACAGCAATGAAAGCACCAAACGACCACCTCCTGGCCCGAGCGGGGCCCATTACAAGGCCTGAGCAGGCCACTGTCCCACCTCTGGATGGTAACAGTGCATCCACCCCACAGCCCTGATGATGAAGAAATGTTCTGGGTAGAACTCAGAGAGGCGTATTCCTGCAGACAAACTCTGCCCCCACTGGCCAGCTGAGGGACTGTTGCAGGTTGACATATAAGTTGCGTCCTGTTTCACGTGTCCGTCTCTGACAAAGCTTGACTCCATGTCCAGACAAAGTATCAGAGTCGTCACTCTCTATCAACGTCTACCTTCTGTTTCTGAACATCGCTGTGATGTCAGAGGTTTGTTCCGACAGAGAGAAAAAATCGCTTTGACCTCTTGTCTCCTGTGAAGGTGTTTTCCTCAACTCCTGTAGAACCGATAGAACGTCTTTGAAGGCGACGGCCCCTGAAGTGGGACACACAGTCTAACAGGACTAATGCTGCATTCAGGTCACATTGGTGCCACATCATTACGACTTTTAAACTTTTTTCACGGCAACGTGGCTTCTTTAAAGCTCTGACTCACATGACCACATCTTTAACCCGCCCACAGTCTCACCGCTGCCTGAGGCGTCCGTTGAGTCATAGATTGTGGCGTCCAACGTGACGTGAGTGTGGCATCAGACCTACAGTTGTTTTATTTCCTTGATGTTTAACCTGCTGCTGATGTGGATGCACTGAAACAATCCTGTCGTTCACGTCTCAGCAACATTTGAAATAATGAACATGTGACTGCTTCACATCGCTCCAGCTCTCAGATCCAGTCCAGACATATCTTGATGAACTTTATGCTTTGATCACGTTTTTTCATTAAACAGACGAGGAGTCATCTGTACATGTCACGCCCCCCCGCCTCACGGATGACAGAATGTCTGCTGCTTTTCACGTCCTGTTGTTTTCACCATCTGTGATTGTTGTGCGATAATTGTGAAACCGCCTCAGGATCACTGTAGCTGAATGTCGGAGAGTTTTTTGTTAAATGTAACAAGATGTCCTGCGGTCCTTAAAGGCATCCCCTCATTGACGACACATGTGACCTCTGACTCATGATGTCATGATTGATTGTGTGAGATGAGGGGGGGAAGTCGCTGTTTTCATCTTCTGTGTAAGAACCAGAGGTCAGAGCCACTGAAACCATGTGTGTGTCTGTTAAAGGTTGTGTTGAGGTTGTGAAGTTGTGCTGAGGTTGTGTTAAAGGTTGAGTTGAGGGAGTGTTGAGGTTGTGTTAAAGGTTGTGTTAAAAGTTGTGTTAAAGGTTTGTGTTGAGGAATGTTGAGGGAGTGTTGAGGTTGTGTTA